ACTTCCCTCATCTCCGCTGATTTCTTCATTATCCATTCTGAGCTTAGCCATGTGCTCAGCGAGTAATTTGTCATCACGTTCACTCACCTAAAAATATTGTAGCAAAATAGAAAGAAACTGAGTGATCGAAGTAATAAATCTAGTCGACTTGTCACAGAAAAAGGATACAAGACTTACCGCACGGGCACCTTCTTTAACGACTAGTTTCCCCTTTTGCTTTTCTATTGAAGTAATGCATGCTTCGATAGCTTTATTTAGAGTCACAATTCCTTTGTCCTACTCAGACAAATAAAGAAAGTGTCAGAGTGAGCAAAGAGCATTCCTGAAACATAAAGTTGTAAAACTCATAGTGAACCACATTTATTCAAGATGATTGTGCGGAAGAGCATATATGTGTAAGGACTCGTGGTAATATTTTTGTGCAATCCTTGATGTATCTTAAACCTTTTACCGCCTTTAAACAAGGGACAAACACAACACCAAAAACATACCTTGTCAAGGGTATGCGTTGTGAGAACGTAAAGTGGTGGAGCAACAAGCTTGATTTTGACTGGACAATCATCACTACCTTCAGCCTCTGCCTTCTTCATTGCTTCCTGCAAGTTCATTATATTATTATAACTCGACATAATTTTCGAAACAAACGTAAGAAATAAAAAGCAAACGAAAGACAACTCATCTATAAAAAGAAAGAAAGACAAGAAAACCGAATATGACCAACCTTGATGTGAAGAACTCCATCAAACTGAAAACACTTCAACTCAATATCAGCACGAATCTTCAGTGGCTGTGGTGTCATTCTCCTCCTAATGTTCCTCACCAACGCATCTTTCAGTTCTTCAGACACAGCCGGAACAACTTTGGTCACCTTTACAATAGATATACATTATAAGTCTTCATGATCAAACTAAAACAACAATAGGTAAGGCTGATAAAAGCACAGAACGTTTACCTCCTCCACACCATCAGGTCCTACTTCTTTAACTTCTCGGGTAAGAGTGTCCAAAACTGAATCAGGATCAGTCACAACGATTTTGAAAGCCTGAAACACAGAGTCCAAAGTATACACCATCATAATCATTCATATTAAAAGCGATATCACAATTAGTAAAGAAAAGCTTTGGAACTCTTACCTCAAAAGCATGACCATGCTTCTTATACAAAGGCCAGCCAATGTTTACATATAGCTCCTACAAACAAACAAAAAGAGGCTTTTCCTCAGCAACTGGAAATCTAAAGAGATAACAGGAAAAAAAAAAGATAAGATCAAATCGAATGTTCACCAATTACCTCTAAATCGACACCAACAGTCTCGGCGACATGTCGCATAATGGAGTGAACAAGCTTGCTCTTATTATACCTCTCCTCACAAGTCTGTTTGTCCTCGTCGCTAACCCTACGCTTGCTGAGATCAATGTAACCTTTATCCTTATCAACACGAAGGACCATAACAGGCTCGATCCGACCAACCTTGACGAGACTACTAATACTACGAATCCGACGGCGAGAGAGCTCGGAGAAGAGGATCATTCCTTCGATGTTGTTGTACTCAAGGAGAGAAACGTAAGCTCCCATGTCGGCGATGTTCTTCACTTGAATCATCACCGCCATGTCTACCTCTGGGTACTTGGATTCGTACATGCGACATTCCAGATTCGGGGAGGGATTCGCCATGGTTTCTTGAGAAAAATGCTTGAAGAAATTACAAATCAGAGAAGAAGGAAGTGTTTCGAGTTTCTTAGTAGTCGCAAGATTGAGTTTTAGGGTTTTCAAAATTGGGAACGATTACCTGCAGTCATCACTTTTCGGTCTCGCTCACATTCCTAGCGGTCAGGTCCTAAACGCGCCGTTTCAATGTTCAAGACTCAAAAAGAGATCCGAATCAATCGGGTCGTCGGTCCAATATCCGTTTGGATTACCGAATGAAGGTTATAAAATTAAAATTAATTGAATAAAATCAAGAGAGGTTAAGGCACTAAATGGTAACACACATTCAACAAATTCAACAGATTCAACAAATTCTGTAAATTCCGCAGTTACCATTTAAGTTACCATTT